AATTATAAACATAGACCCAGCAAACCCTGTAAAGTCCCTTAGCAATCAGAAACCAACCGGTGGAATGAGACAGGCCTAGGCCTACTAGCTCCATCAACATCCCCTACTCCAATCGATTTTTCGCATTTTTGACGATCAATCTGATCACGATCAGTTCCTCCACCCTTAATTCCATCTCGTTGTCGATTCTGACAACCAAAGACAGCATAAGAAATAAGTTATTTCAAATAACCATTTCGAAAGCAGTACACGTTTTACATATCACACACTCGCAGAACACAACAACCCATTTGAAAACTTTTGCCGTGCAAATGAAATTCTGCGAAACGCCGTGTGTCTTCAAGCCTCACTTTTATGCTATCTCTTTAGCTATTCTTATATCTCATTGGTAAGATCCCGTTTTCTCCCGACTTTCAATTCCTCTACATACAGGTGCGAAAAAGCTATTTTGCAACCAAGGAACCAATCGAATGGCTCAAAAATTTGCACACGGCCAGGACAGGTAAGCAAAGAGTGCCTCAAAATATTTGTTTATGTTCTGGTCCGGCTTTTATAATCAAATACAGCTATGAGGGAAGACAAAACGTTTGCCAATTTTTGATAGAGTATAGTATTCTAAAGGGGAGGAGGAATTTGAAAAATCTGAGAATAAATTTGGTAGCTTAAGATCTGCGCTTTCTGCTGATATAAGTCAAATTTTGTTATCTCAAACGCAAGGGTAAAAGATAGCTTTTGAAGGTGATAGACTCACTTAAGCAATATAATTGCCTGGAAAGCATCCTTTTACGATATTTACCAATAACTTTGATTTGGTTGGAACCGCCACGTTCTTGTGCATCAAGTGATGTACACTCTTTTTTTTATAAGAACCAGTAGATTTAAGTTCAGGCTGACTGTTCTAACTTTTTTCGAAAATCTGAGGCTGGATTGTTCTTAATTTGTTCTTAAAAAAAGAGGGTATAAGCAGTGCGATTGCTAGCTCTTTCGCTTTAGGGAGGTGTACAGGCCTCATTTGCCAACAAAGTGAGTGAGACAGCCTTCATTTGCCGAAAAGTCTGAATATTCGACGAAAAAGCACCCACTCATCGCTAAAAATCCTCGATTTTGAGAAAAAACGTTATTCAAAATTGCATTTTGCAGAAGCTCAGCCTCAATTTGTTCTTAACTTTTAACCAATTTTGAGGCTCCTGTTCTTATAGAATTGCTTTTACAAAAAAGAGTGTATAGTTTGATCCAATTCCGTCAATAGTTTTGCTTTTAGGGAGAAAAAAACAAAAATCGTCTCAGAAACGTTTACGTAACCTTAAAGCATTTTATTTCAATCATAAAAAATTCAGGTCCGTCCGATGCTGGTAGGAATTTTTTTAAATTTTCTAGCAATTCTGCTATCAAAAATTTCTAAATTTTAAATCTCTAATGAGTTTTTCAAACGTGCTCCCAAAGTATAGTAAATAGTTCACTCACATTCAGAGATAAACTAACAAAGTGATCAAGGAATTTGGTTTCCCTAGAATGACTAACTCTGTTAAAGATTTGTAAACAGCTCATTAAACTTCGTCAATGTCAAGTTGAAATCAAAACAAATTTTAAAATGGAAACTTTTATGATAATGAATGCAAGCTGCATATCAAGTGTAGTATTGCAATATGCAGTGTTGTTCAATGCCAAGACTGTTTTGAATGTCCACTCGGAAAATGAAAACTGGTAATCATAAAAGTTTCTTAGCCTTTTTAAACTTGGATAGGGTTGTTTCTCAACTTTCGAAAAATTGAGCCTACCGTTTCTTATAATCTGTTTCTTATAAAAAGGCGTGTATGCTCTTCGCTTCGTCAGACAACCCGAATGGGGGCAGTCTCTATATGGTTATTGGTTGAGTCTAAAAAGAGGCCAGGTAGGCCCGATCGTTTTGGTGAGCAGAACAATGTAAATGAAGAGTCTATAGAGAAACTTTGGAGCAGAAATAGAGTATCGCTTTTAAAAACTTTTGGTTATATTCGTGAACATTTTACCTGAGCTGAGCGTTGGTGAAAAATGTTCAACGCCAAAAATTAATTTGAACTTTTGTTGAGCTACTCATTCTCATGCTGGCAGAAAGACGAAGTAGAAAAAGATATGATTTCCAATTTTGAATTTAAATTATCTGAACAAACAAAACATGGCGTGGTGCGATGGCCATAAACGAACTGCGAGAATCCAAAATAAATACAACATGTTCAGCCTCGTTTCTATACACACCTGATTGAGGGTTTGCTATGTCGACAACTTATGTTTCAATTTACTTTGATAGGCGCTTTTTTAGCCAGAAGTAATAGATCTGTGATTTTTTGAAATTGTAGTAATCAAATTGGTTAATCAAGTTCTGAAGTGTGACGTCAAAAAAAACTACTTTTAGACGTCTCATTAATAATAAAGATACTTTCTAATTAATTCTTCTAATTATGCAAGATTAGTCAAATGTGTTTACCATCGGGTGAGATATTGCCAAAAAAGTTTTGAAGTTTGCTAACGGATTACTGTTATTTTGGCTCTGTTCATAAAGTTATGAATAGAGACGAAATGGCAGAGGTTTGATGGGGAAAGAGCCAATACACAAATGGACATATCTTAGCCAATTCTAAACACATTTCACTGATTTTGCATTTTAAGAGGTACTTTATGATTTTCTTTCAGTTTATAAGTTTATGGGATCAAAATTCAAAAAATTTTTATATTTCAGTACTTTTATTATTTTGTCATCGCTATAGAACTCTATTTCGAAATTTGTTTCGTCGTCAAATATCTCTAAATGGTTCGAATAACAAACAAAGAAATACGAAACAAACAAACAAAGAAGAACCCAACGGTAAGCGAATTCCAAAAACAACTATATAATCTGATTAATTTAATAGACATAAGGGATCACGTTGTCTATGCATAATAACAATCATCACTCGAAAGATTTTGGCTTTAAAAATTCACACAAACGACAACATATTCAAAATCAGTATTTGTTAGGGAGACGAGTTAGGGTAAGTCCGTAAGGTGTAGGTAGCCCCCGTGAAAGGAGTAGGTGCACATGCGTACTTTGCATTTAACAACAGATAGGCAAAGGGGGGAACTTTGAAAAAATAAACAACGTAGTCCAGCATTGTTCTAGCAGGTTTAATGCGCGTGCGTACCTACTTCTCGTAGCTAATTGGTTCGGACAAACCAATTACGCTTTTGTTCTAAACAATGGAGCCGCGATCTCATCTCCCCAACAAGTAAAGTATTCTTAACACAAAATCTGCATTTTCAATTTTTGAATTTTGATACCTGAAAGAGCATCCCGAAATAATTCGAATTTCACTAAATCAGGTAACACAATACGGATTTGCCGAGATATGGTTTCAAGAAGTTATTAAACCAGGCCAGAATAACATCAATTTATAAACAAATTTGAAGTCTTTCACTGGTCATATCCCGCCCAACCTTTGACCTATAAAACTTGTTCTGCATATGAATTTCAATGTGCTCCAACTTTCAAAATTAAAAGAATTGATTTTTATGACGTTAAATCTGGAAGTTAGGTGGGGGGAGGGAGGGGGGGGGGGGGGGGTTGTGCTCGGGCTCGACAAAAATATTAGGTTGGTGGTTTTCAGTAGATTCTGCAGGCAATGTATAGTAAAATTAAGGTAATTTCAAGGAAATTGGTGACACAATTACAGGGGTGGAATAATGTTTTTAAAACGCTAGAAAAATATTTGTCGCAACAGCACTAGAAATTGCAAGCAAGCTTGGACGCACGTTGATTCTGCTTTCAAATGATCAAAAACTATTTTACGATAAATTTGCTTTAAGATGCGGGCTTTTCCTTTGATTTGAGTGAGAGACCTAACACGTTCTTATGTTGTTCTACAAAATATAGTTCACGAGGGGGTTTTATGTACATTGTAATAGTTGAAAATAATAGGTTTAGGTTGGGGTGGGTGGGGTTGTTGGGTGGAAATGTTTTATGGTGAGAAAACAAATTAAATTGTTTGGAAAAAGAAATTTTTGAAAATTATGAGGTAATGCTCCATGGAATCTTGCACCTATGCTCCGCTTCCAGACAGTGGTGTAGAGCTATTTTGATAGCTAGGGGGGGGGCTCTTGCACAAAATGTTGCAAAAACAATAGCAAAAGCAAAAGTTTGTCAATTTTCGGCATTAGCAAGGAGGACTCAGCCCCCTTGAGCCCCCTAGCTCCAAAAAACCTTGCTTCCAGGGGTCCTTTTTGGCCGACAGGGGTTCATTTTTGAGATGATATGACCATTGGTCCCAAAATATAAATATGAAGTTAAAGCCATTATTTTCAAGCATTCATGTTTGATTCTAAATGATTTGACAAAAACTACATGGTTTTATAAAACCACAAAAATATGGACGATAAAGTGGATTTACCTGCATGTACTGTTTATGTAACTACTTAATATAGAATCTTGGATTCGATTTCTTAATGCTTATTAACTAACAACCGAATAACTTTGAAGCAAAATAGACGGTTGATAACTAAAAGGAACTAAGATCAGGTATCTAAAACTATAATCAATAATAAGACTTTTTATTAACACGTAACTGACTAACGCAAGGCCTTCGAGAGGTCTTGGAGGATCTTGGGCAAAACGGGAAGACAAGGTCCCCTGCAAGCGGAATGACCACGTCCTTCAGATTAGCTTAACAAATATGCGGAAAGGGAAACTATAATATGACAGAATCACTGATACTTCTGATTGTTTCTTAGAGCAAGATAGGTCGGGAAGAGGTCGGTCGTCATTTTGCTAGAAACTAGCCAACTTTAAAAAACTGCATTGCCCTTCGCAAACAGGGCCTCTTCGCATAATGCGTTAAATTTAAAAAGATAATTTCATAATTTCGTCATAATCTAATAATTATGTTATAATTTCAAAATTATGCTGTAATTTCATCATTATGCGGAAATTTCATAATTATGCTATAATTTCATATCGTGTTTCATTTTGATAATTATGTTATAATTTTATAATTATGCTTAAATTTCATAATTATGTTATAATTTCATAATTATGCAAAAATTTCATAATTATGCTTTAGTTTCATTGATCTATCCTAAGAAAGCAGCATAAGTAGAAAATTCACTTTTGAAATAAAGTTCTAGGGAATTTATTGGGTGTTGGCTTTCGTGAAAACACAACCTGGCACTGGCGGAAAAGATCGACTTTTGTAAGCACTGCAAACTTACGTGAATACTCATTGAGCAATGCATTTTTTCTTTAGTTCGATTTGCAATAACAATACTCGCGCAAATGTGGATACGCTTTAGTTTCATAATTATGCTTTAGTTTCATTGATCTATCCTAAGAAAGAAGCATAAGTAGAAAATTCACTTTTGAAATAAAGTTCTAGGGAATTTATTGGGTGTTGGCTTTCGTGAAAACACAACCTGGCACTGGCGGAAAAGATCGACTTTTGTAAGCACTGCAAACTTACGTGAATACTCATTGAGCAATGCATTTTTTCTTTAGTTCGATTTGCAATAACAATACTCGCGCAAATGTGGATACGCTTTAGTTTCATAATTATGCTTTAGTTTCATTGATCTATCCTAAGAAAGAAGCATAAGTAGAAAATTCACTTTTGAAATAAAGTTCTAGGGAATTTATTGGGTGTTGGCTTTCGTGAAAACACAACCTGGCACTGGCGGAAAAGATCGACTTTTGTAAGCACTGCAAACTTACGTGAATACTCATTGAGCAATGCATTTTTTCTTTAGTTCGATTTGCAATAACAATACTCGCGCAAATGTGGATACGCTTTAGTTTCATAATTATGCTTTAGTTTCATTGATCTATCCTAAGAAAGAAGCATAAGTAGAAAATTCACTTTTGAAATAAAGTTCTAGGGAATTTATTGGGTGTTGGCTTTCGTGAAAACACAACCTGGCACTGGCGGAAAAGATCGACTTTTGTAAGCACTGCAAACTTACGTGAATACTCATTGAGCAATGCATTTTTTCTTTAGTTCGATTTGCAATAACAATACTCGCGCAAATGTGGATACGCTTTAGTTTCATAATTATGCTTTAGTTTCATTGATCTATCCTAAGAAAGAAGCATAAGTAGAAAATTCACTTTTGAAATAAAGTTCTAGGGAATTTATTGGGTGTTGGCTTTCGTGAAAACACAACCTGGCACTGGCGGAAAAGATCGACTTTTGTAAGCACTGCAAACTTACGTGAATACTCATTGAGCAATGCATTTTTTCTTTAGTTCGATTTGCAATAACAATACTCGCGCAAATGTGGATACGCTTTAGTTTCATAATTATGCTTTAGTTTCATTGATCTATCCTAAGAAAGAAGCATAAGTAGAAAATTCACTTTTGAAATAAAGTTCTAGGGAATTTATTGGGTGTTGGCTTTCGTGAAAACACAACCTGGCACTGGCGGAAAAGATCGACTTTTGTAAGCACTGCAAACTTACGTGAATACTCATTGAGCAATGCATTTTTTCTTTAGTTCGATTTGCAATAACAATACTCGCGCAAATGTGGATACGCTCTTGCAATGCATTCTGGTTGATTTTCGTACGCATTCAGTCTGCTAATGTCAGCATCGACAGTGACGTCACTTCCATAAGTTTCGACATTGACTTCGAACTCTCCTCCGCTGGGCTGCACAGCAAAAACCAATTCGTATTTTATCTTCTTTTCGCCTTTTAAATTCTTGAAAAGTAACTTGCAACTATCGCATCGCGAGTTCCCCCTCGACTTTACAAAACTCTCCATTTTCCAATTGTGAATTACTTTCCCCGCCCTCAAAATCTTTCCCAATTGTAACTCCGCACACTTTTCCTTAACCTCCCTTATCTTCTGCAGTTTCTCGTTTATAAACCCAACAGCAATATTTGCCATGTTTTTCACTTGAGCATCGTCAACAGGCACTTCAACGTAACCCAAACAAGGGCACCAGTGATCCGCCACCCCAGCGTCCTTGCAGTTACGCGTGTCTTGGTTTATTGCAGTAAACAAACTCTGGCCTATTCCTTCACGTTTATAGTTTGGGTATGCCAGGATGTGCTTAAGGGTGCCGTATATATCAAAATGAGAAGTCATTCCTTCTGAATTTGCAACAATGGCCTTATACAGCTCGCTGTGCTTCTTCTTAAACCATCTTGGTAACGTGATTGACAGGTGAGGCAGCCTCTCTTCCAGTTTACCTTCAATCGAGGACCTGAATGATGATATACGTGGTCCGTGGTCACCAAACAAAACAAAGATAGTGTTTTCGAAATGGCCTTTCGCCTTGAAACTTGCCAAAAAGCTGGCTAAATCGTCATCCATTCTCTGCACGTTGTTGATGCTGTTGTGCGGTAAAAGGGCAATTAAGTTCAGGCTGAATTTCTTTAAATTTGAGTAATTATCGTGAAAATTCTGCAAATATGAAAGAACATGCTGGTGAAAAGGCCAACTTCCATAGCACGGCCTTTTTTTCACTTTCATTTTGTCGCCTATGGTGTAAAAAGGCCGCGCGTAATGGTCCGTTGGCGGATCTTTGAATCCGTGCAAGCGGTAATTGAAAGTAGCGTATAGGCTTGAATCCTCTTGAAACATCGTCGCATACCCTTTCTTTTTGAACTCTTTGAATATAAACGGCCATCTGTCGACGGATTTTGAGCCTGAGAAGCTTCGCCTTGCCTCGGGTAACTGTTGTTCGTTCAAACCTGTAAACATAGCGCAGAGCTGAGCGGTTGTTCCATCGCCAACAATTGTATGGCCTAAAAAAGAACATTAAAGCTTAATGCAATTCCTGCCCTAGGGGCTCGAGGTGGTAATAGGAAAGATGTGCACAATCACATGATATATCACGTGTTAGCTATTAATCACATGTCATATCACGTGTTAACGTATATATAAGAGTTTGTAATTAATTAGAGAGTGAGTTTTTAGTACAAATAAAAGCACTCAAAATGTATTGAGCGCGTTGTCTTTGCCTCTTGATCTTTACAATGTATCGCCTTTTACATCTGATGGAGAACCCGTTCCCGATGTCTCACGAAGAGACACTGGGTTTAATACAGGGATTGGCTGAAGTTATGAAGGACCAGAATGCCCCGAATTAATGAAAATGGAATTAATCAAAAGTAACAGAAAAGTGCCGAAAATAGTAGCGCATTTTAAACGATTGCAAAAAATTAATGAATTAAATCTAACTTAATTTACAAATGATCACAAAAATTTCCCTGGGTCTCGTTTTTTGGTTTTGTCCTACAAATCTCTCGGCGGCCATGTCCAGACAATTTCTTGATATTCTACCCTACCACAATTCATCATATAGAATTATTCAATTGGATGTGTATCACACGGAAGTGCGCTTTTTATTAATGTGCCCTTGAGACCAGTCAATTGTAATAATCAGAGAGATTTAGATGAAAAGTACACCACAAGGCAAATTAATTTTACTTTTAATTAGAGCAAAATATTGAAGAAAAGTCATTTAAAGGCATTTTTGAGGCAAATGACAGTCTTATCTTGCAGATACAAAAATCAATCAACTATTGGCCAATCATTGAATGCCTGAATGGTATGAATCTTACTGATTGGCTAAATATGGACTAACAGGTGACTTAAAGCACGTGAGTATCTGTTGATTGGCTCATACCGAATACATAGATACCTTTGAAGAAAATGGTGTTGTCCTGCTGTTTCAGAAACCCAAGAGATTTGGGCATGACTCTTTGAAAAGTTGCAGCTGACACGCTGTCAAGCATGAGAAATGCGACATTCAAATCCAGGTCATCAGGCTCGTTTGATACAGGCGAAGCCTGAGATATGACGTCATCTTTTGGGATAGTGATACAATGGTATTCATCTTCAGTGCCTCCATCTTTGGTTCTTAATGTTAACTTCACGAAATCTTCTTTCGGTTGAATACGAATTTCACCATTTGGGCCTAAAAAGAGATCCAGTTTCTTTAACAAATACGTTATTTAGAGAACTTGTGAAATTCGAATTGAATTTTGCGACTATTTTATGCAAAGATAATTTACCACTGATAATAACAAGACAATAAAACAAGACAATAATTTTCACGCTAAATTGTAAAAGGCTGTGAGATTATTATAATCTATCTAAGAAATCTCGACTTAAATATTTCTAAGTTGGATGGTCATTCTTTGTGTTCACTAAAAATTTGAATCTGTTTCTATCTAGGGTTTGAAGGTAGATTGAGGATAATAGGAAAGCGCGCTTATCGAAAAAGGTCCTGGTCCTTCCTCTCGATGTGACCACACCTCGTGGTTCTTACGCCTGGAATTGCAGAGAGCTGGCGACACCGCTTTCTCTTGGTGAAACCTTAGCTATGTCAGAGAATGAGATTAGGAAAACCACTGAGCCTCAAACAGTCGGCTGTAAACAGGTTTCGGGCCAGCAATTAGGCTGTCAGAGGCAATACATGTGGGAGGTAGTGTAAAAAGAAAAAATGGCTTTGAAAAAAGCAAACATTTAGTAAACTAAAGCTTTTCGTCTGACACTCTTCAGAGTTTAAAACGTCAGAACATAGATCGAAAACTCTACGCTAGGAAATATATATACCCAGTTGTGGATTGAAATAGGCCAATCAGAAACACGAGCACATGACTGTATAGGTTGACCAATCAGTGCCGCTTGCCTATTGAGAATGTTACCGATGGAGTCCTTAGGTGAAAACGAACTACACAAGTCTACACAAGTCTACACTTTTCCTTGTCTACACAAGGAAAAAAAGAGCGCACGAGTCTTGGAAACTCGACAGTCTCTTTAAGGCTCGAGTCATAGACCCTTTCAGCCAATCTTGATTTATTTTAGTTGCGGATTTCTTTCTCTCAAATTCACTTTAGGCCAATGTCTATGATTATCCTTGTGCCCCCAAACTCTCCAACTTTCGTCCTAACCAACAACAAGGCTGGAAATTTAGCAGTCCGTAGTTCTTACTCCAGAAGAGTAGAGATTGACTATTAACGATAGAAGTTAAGGGATAAGGATGAGAATTAGCAATGATTCAAATTGAATCCCTGTTAAACATGATTATCCAGCGCTTTGATGGAATATCCAATTCAATTCAGTAGAGAGGTACCAGAAAAAACTCCCTCGTAACTTTAAATAGACAGGGCATATGCTCTAACCATCTAACAAACACGCTATCCTTTGTTTTCTCAATAAATCCCGTTAAAATAAGCTCTAAACTTGAAAATTCGATATTTGTACCGTTTCAGAAAATCCTCTGTTGTTACGTCATCGGTGACATCATTTCTGGCATGATGTCAGTGTTTGAATGGTCATACAAACTCTGACATCAGTACAATCCGGTTATGACATACTTTAAGGGACCAGCGTATCAAGTACGTTATATCCGAATTACGTTGTAACGAGGGTAAGTAAAATTTTACTAAAACCAAGCACACCTTTTGCCGGGACCAAGCACACCAGTACTTTATATCCGAAAGTTTGTAATAACCGAGTACGTTATAACGGGATTCTACTGACTCGATGGTTATTCGTCAATTCGATTCATATATACATATTCACTATTCGCTCAAGTCAGCATTTTTGTAATCACTCGACCTTTAAAGTTTCCAGGGTTTAAATTGAAATAACTTGGTCGCTTTTCGAGAAATGACGATTAAATTTGCATGGAATTCAATATCTCAAAGAGCTTTTTCGATCGGTATGAACATATTTAGAATTTGCTGATGTCAGTATTTTTGTTATCACGTGACCTCCAAAAATAGTTCTTGAGACAGTTGCTCTCTCAAAATATTCACGAATTGAAAGTCAGTCAGTAGGAAGGAAACAACTCATTTCATTAGGAGGATCTTTTCATAATGCTTTCTAAAGATGGCCGAAACACCAATAGAGGGGGGGGGGGGCTTTGGGGTATAATTTATAAAGAACATAAATGTAAAAATCATACATATTTCTGACAGAATATTATGTAACATTCTGCCACCCTCTAGCAATTTGGCCCCCCCCCTCCCCACCAGCAGCTTGCTTCTTGCTATGACCCTGCTGTAAGTATATCATATAGCAGATATATAGCAGATATATAGCAGATATAGGAAAAAATGTAATATTTTAAAGTTATTGCAGACAAATCATTTCAAACTGCCAATATTCCAGCCCCATGACCACCTCACCAAATAACCTTAAAAAGCTCCAGTTTAACTTTAACAGCAAAATAAAATAAATTTACAATTTTTCGCTAGCAAAATTCTTCTTGTGTTATTTTCCTGGCCTGGTTGAGGCCTAGCAATATTTATCGTTCTTTTTGCATGTTGAGTTGAATCCAAGGTGATCGTGGTTTACAGACAAGTAGCCCGCACCTAATACATATTTAATGAACTCAAAAACCAGCTGCTTTATGAGAGATTTAATTGAACACCAGTTGCATTTCTGCTGGTCCAACCTCGTGAGACAATAAAATCTTCTTCTCCAAAGGACCTGACTTAGGTTACAGTAAACTTTTTCTAGATCGTGAGACAAAAACATCAATTTTTCATTGTTTTCACGTTCTAGTAGCCGAACTTTCAAGGCACACAATGTAACCATGTTTCAAGCTAACATAATTTTGTAAATGGAAAATAACGGAGGTTTTCATAATTTATTTATCACAACGTTTAGTTGAGGCCTGAAAATCGCTTGACCGGTTAAGCGGACAATCGTTGCTTTGCGGTTGTGGTCGCCTGGCACATCCATGAATCCCATGTACGGCCGTGTTTATTTAAACGGGCTTATTGATCTTGAAACTTCAAATAACTTAACCCGGTTTACACTGTTGTTTACGAATGTACCTTGCCGGTGCGATCAGTAAAATCCCGTTTTCTCCGGACTTACAATTCCTATTGACGCAGGTACGAACAAGCTATTTTGCACCCAAGGAGCCAATCGAATGGCTCAAAAATTTGCACACGGCCAGGACAGATGTCGGGTAAGCAAAGCTGTTCTCAAAATTTTTGTCTTTGCTCTGGTCCGTCTTTTATAGCCAAATACAAATGTGTGAGTGTAGAAAAGGGGCCTATTACAGGTTTGCGGCTTCACGGCCTGAACCCCGTTTTCCCGCGCGGCCTCCGGATTTTAATTTTTTTTCTGCAGATTGCGGCGTCACGAAAAGGTTCGTCTTGCGACTTTCGGACCAAATTCACGACGGCTTACGGATTCTATGATGGGGTTGCGGCTTAAAGCCGAAATAACGGCAAGGCTCTTCGCTTTTAAGGTTACGGTAAACGTTTTTGAAACAATATTTGGTTTTCTCTCCCTAAAAGGCAAACCATTAACGGAATCATTCGATGCACGAGAATGTGGTGATTCCAACCTTTGCTAAATATTTGCTAAAAAAATTGCTAAATATTGTAAAAATGATTCTTTCTTGGCAATTATATTGCTTAGATGAATGTACCACCTTCAAAAGTTATTTTGTACCCTTGCGTTTGAGATATCAAAAGAAATTCCATCAGTTAAAAACTGACGAAGTTGGAAGTCTTCAACTTTTTCAGTCAAAAACTGATGGTCATCAATGCATCAGTTTTTATCAGTTTTTGCTAAATATACGATTAGGTTTTGACTGAAAACTGAAAACTGAAAACTGAAATCGATTGACATTAACTCGATTGTTTTCATTATTTGTTTCAACTCTTTCAAAGTCTGCAACTCTTTCATCATCGTCAGTCTCTCGTCGTTCTTCATCAGATTTGAAAACTGGCTTGAGAGTAAAATCTATCTTCCTTGCTTCGGCTGTTTGATGTTGATTGCGACCTCCAAACTCATTTTTAACAAACACTACATCTCTAGATTTATAAAGTTCCTTTGTTCTTAGATCAAATAGACGATACGCTTTTCTGTAAAGACTGTACCTAATGAAGATGCACTTTCGAGATCTTGAATCAAATTTCTTTGTGAGCTCTTTAGGAATGTGCATGTAAGCATCACATCCAAATTCTTTGAAATGTGCTACATCAGGTTTTCTTCCATAAAACTTTCATATGGAGTCATGTCCTTCACTGCTTCAGTCGGACTACGATTCCTCAAAATGACTGCTGTTGCAACTGCTTCTCCCTAGAAATCATTTGGTAATTTAGCAGCATGCAGCATTGATCTTGCAGTTTCTTGAATGGTTCTGTTCATTCTCTCTGCGACTCCATTCTGTTCTGGTGTTCTTGGGACACTTCTCTGCTTAGAAATACTTTTCAGTGGCAAGAAATTATTAAATTCATTTGAACTCCCCACCATTATCCGAGCGTAGATTCTTGATTCTCTGCACAGTGGCATTTGTTGCCATGGCTTCAAAACTCTTTGAACTTTGAAGAACTTGATCTTCGTTTCTTATGAAGCATATTGCAGTTAACCTTGACTAATCATCGATAAAGGTGACAAAATATCAATGTCAACACAGACTGGTTGTTTGCATTGGTCCACACACTTCACTGTGTGCTGGCTCGTTTCCATGTAATCGCATCAGACCGAGTCAGCCTGGCAAGCGGGATAAAACACACACTGGAGGATGCGCCAGTGTGTGGTTTCACACCAAACTTCTTTGTAGGCTTTTTGTAGGCTTCTTTTCTAACATCAAACTTCTTTTCAGCCCGTTTAAGGATACAAGCTTGTCGTTTCCACTTTTCCTGCAGAGGTGGCGCCAGAAATCTTCCGACAGAGGGGAATGAGCTTCCGACAAGGGGGCTAAAATGACTAAAATATGCAATTTTTGTATGTTACTTTGTCAACGGAGCGGCTATAGCCCCCCCTAGCCCTTTCTCGGCGCCACCACTGTTTTCCTGTACAAACTATATAGTCTGGGCTCTTAGCACAGTATTTGACTTGAATTGTGCAAATTGTGATACCAGCATGAAAATGGTTACACTGGGGTAATTTCACACGCTGATGATGATGCCGAACAGACCCAAGCCGAAAAATGTCCCCAAATGCTATTTTTAGACTGGGGTACTTGGCCCCAGTCCTCGAAATGGGCCAATCTCCATATGTCATTACTGATTTATGAAAAAAGTGGGAAAGGAAAGATTTAGGTGCATTATCATATATTAAAATATATTAAGAGAAAAGGAAATGAAAAATTGCCACTTTATGCTATTTTTAGAATATGAAATTGGTACCCATGTCTCTATTTAGGCATTAATCTTTAAATAATTACTCTCTTTTAAATGAATATGAAATGTAGCTTTCTCCATTCTTTCAACAACCTGAAAAGTTATACGAAAAGATGTAATTGACAATCTTACCCCTTGATGCTATTTTTAGAATGGGGTACTGGAACCCAGTTCTCAAAATTGGGTTTTACCTTCATAGTCTAGGCTCTAAGCACAGTATTTGACATGAAATGTGCAAACTGTGGTACCAGCATGAAAATGAGTACACTGGGGCAATTTGACACGTTGATAATGATGCTGAACAGACATAAGCTGAAAAGTGCCCCCAAGTGCTAGTTTTAGACTGGGGTACTTGACCCCAGTCCTCAATTTTGGATTTCAACCATGCGTAGTTAACTAAAGATTCAAATTAGCATGAATGTATAGGTTTAAACACAATTCACCTAGGCATTTAATTGCCAGTCAACTAAATGCCTGTTGTTTAATCCAATTAAGATGCCTTTCATCGATGATTTTGCGTCATTGTCCCTTTGAAAAAACCAGACCCTATGACCCTAGGACCCCTATGACCCCTAGGACCATTAACTACGAAGAACCAAAAAGGACCCTTAACTACTACATGATTTGCGGCTCCCCCAGAGCCATGCTTTTTAATGCTATCATGTTGACAGCTTTGGAAGCATTCCGACTTTGGCTCAAACATTTAACATTGTCATTTAACAATCGTCGGTCTCCTGTCTTTTTATGTTTTCCAGGAGGTGAATTTCGCACTTAATTCGCTACGGGTTGTTTCAAAAGTCCCTTTTGATTTCCACCAGACTGCGAAATAATATTGTGATTTCCCCAAAACTAGACATTTTTAGGCGCCTATTGCGGAATATTTCGCAGCGGTGAAATTAGACCTATTTTCGAAGTCAAAAATCAAAACTGCGCCCCTCCCCCCCTAGATATCTTCACCAGCGATTTGGCTGCGAAAATCGCCTCGTGGCAATTAACCCGTGCAGTGTGTGCTGTATGGGCGGGGAAGTTAAAGAAATGTGGAACTTCGGGGAACTTTTTAATGGAAGACTTCTTTCTGATTTTGGATTGTGCAAACGCCTCTTAATATTTTGACTATTTTTTTGCCTTGATTTCTAGTGCTCTGCAGCTGCACCCTGCTGTGTCAACATTGTCAATTTATTTAATTCTCCCTTCCCTCTAAAGGCCCCCTAAACCCTGGTCTGATAAACACCGTTATCTCATACAGAGTACTTTTTGAAGGCTAGATGAAATGTTTCTGCTTCTCTTGTCTGATCTGTTACTTGAAGTGATTTTCGATGCTTGCGTCGATGGTGTTTTTTGTCATTAGTCCGTTAGGATTGGTGTGTGCGTCATGAGTTAAAAAGCATGGCTCTGGGAGAGCCGCAAATCATGTAGTAGTTAAGGGTCCTTTTTTGTTCTTCGTAGGTAATGGTCCTAGGGGTCAAAGGGGTCCTAGGGTCATAGGGTCTGGTTTTTCCAGTATGCCTTACTCGTAGCGTTTTGGCTGTGAAATACATGTTGCCTTTCTTTTATCCCTTCTCGGGCAAAATTATTCGAAAAACGCCTTCTCCGCATACACATTTGACTAACATCAAGGCTGCTCGAAGGCTGCAATGTGCAGAAGCAGTAATCGCTTTTCTGATTGTAAAGGAAGGGGAAAATGCATAAGAATAGGTATCGACAAGGAGCTATTGGAAACTGTCCTTCAAATGCTCTTGTCAATACACTGAACAATAGCAATCAACGAGGATGAGAAAATACAAAAAGAACTTCCGGGCATTTTATTGCCCAAAAGTTGAACATGTTCAATTTTTAAAACGGAAACACCAGAATGTTGATAATTTGAAAATGTATGGCAATAATCAGGTAACCTCTGCGAATACACTAGGCATTTTATTGCGAGTCAACTATGGCTGCGTTAACACTGTTTATGCTTGCTCGCTCCGACTTATGGCTGTTCACACTGTCCGCTATTCAAAACTTGTGCAACTGCAACGGCATTGTTCATAAGAATTCTTTTGTTTAAAATGCGTTCATGTTTGTCGGACGGAGACCGCCAGATTTGAAATGCAAGAACTGCGAAAAATGGGGCGTACAATCATTCGTTAACAGAAATCAGATGATAAAATAAGGTCCAAAGAGGCATAATTCACTGGGTCTAGCACCAAATTTTGTCAAATAGCCCAAAAAGCAGATTGTTCATCGATTGCAGTGAGTGACGGCTTGTAACTAACCTGGCAGCTAACTAACAAGCTAAATCGCATTAACTAGCGCCTTTATATTTGCCAATTTGAACACTACAATAGATTCTATATAAATCATCTGATAGCGACTGGAGGTGCTTTCAAAGGACTGAGCAGTGTAAACGCGATTTTAACAAAACAAAGGGTACCCATTTAAAGGCATTGAGTCATGGTAAATACTGGTTCTCCGTGGGGGGTTTGTCTGTTTCCATATGACAAGTTTGTTTTCATGTGATCAGGCATTCTTTGTCGAAAGCGAAAGGCATTTGAAAAGCCTTTGTGGCATTGGAAAGGTACAAATGGGGGAAGAAGTTTTGAAATCTTGTGTAGCGAGCAAGAGAAAAGAGAGGGAAAGAAGGAGTTATCATAATGACGCCGAAATGTTTGCAACTTGGGTTTACGCTTCCTATTTACCATGACTCGATGCCTTTAAACATATCTAAACTCTGTAAGCTTTGTTGATAATCAACTAAAGCAAAATAAATTCAAACAACCGAAACTATTTCTAAAAAAAATCCTTCGATCGTACGCCTAATTCAAAACCTTCAGCTGAGAGGGAATAGTGTTGCTAGAGGGATTAAGAAAACAATAAAATATTAATAATAATTATATATTAATAATAACAAGTTAAATATTAGTTACCAAATAAAATGTTTAGGGCTGAGTCTGGAAAGGTATTTAGTACAATAACATAATAAAAACAAAAACATGATGATAATTAGTAGTTATATAAACAATTAAAACTGCAAATACTTTATTTAGTTAATTCAAGTCGATAAAAAGAGATGTAAATAAGTGCGTCCAGTCTCAACATTGCTTGTGGCAAGCAACGCTCAATTCTAATCATTACTAGTTTGTTTATATTCTTTAGCTGTGAAGTAATTTAATCAAAAGAGTGAAGTAATTTAATCAAAAGGAAACTGTGAAATACTTACCACGGCTGTTCAAGTCAATATCAATGCGATCAGAGTAAACTGTGTTGAAATCGTCGCCTACAGGCCTTCGAATATATGTCATTTGTAATTTAGATATATCCTTTCCATCGATTAAAATTTCTGTTCCTTTGATAAACCCTCGGCGTTTTCCAGGACATGTAAGTTTTGGTAATTTCTCCACATATTTCATCGCACTTTCTCTAAACGGATCCAGTTTTGGCAAGATACACTTTGAATCAATGAATTCCGTCGTTTCGTGGCCCTCCTCTAACGACGCGTCGAAGTCATACAAAAAATAATCAGTCCATCTTGCGTGATCAATTGTAAAATAAATAATAAATAAAGTCAAGAAAATGATAATTCTTGTACGAGTTATCCGGGCAAGAAGATGTCTGGCCTTCGCCATAACACAGGTTGCTCTTACTTTTTTGCCGAACGGCCTGCGATCAGATGACTGCTGTTTGAGCATGTGGTCAAGGTTGGCGACTGGTTCTCGGTCCGCAAATTACAGTGCGACATTTGACCAGTTCAGCGGATCAGAGACCATTGACTTCCGAGAATTTACTGTGCCGGATGAATTTTACCCGCAGAAAACTTGTTCGGATTGATTTGCGTTTACACTGTGCCGCACAAATTTGGTCCACTTTGCCCTCCCGTTTACACTGTGCCGGATAACTGCAGTCACGTGATCGTGCACAGAACGTCCAAAACAAGGTCATCTCTGGGCAACAAAATAACAACTAAATTCCCGCCAACGTAAAAAGACTTTTAATTTTCTCTTCAGAATGATCTGCTTCTTTTTTTCAGACATAGTCCGAAGATATTATCAAAACAAATTAGGCAAATTAGTTTTAATATCTTTTTCTCTGAAACAAAATGACGCTGAAATAGCGAAGAAAGTGGGGAAAGCTGACAAGGGTGCCAATTTTACGTGGACTGACGAAGATGCTACACTTTAAAGACGAGTATTTATCGACAACAAGGCAGCCATGATGGCGAAAGGTCTTGACTGGGAGACAGTAAAAAACTTAATAGGAAGAAATAGCCAATCGCTTTCGAGCAAGATACGATGTTGATTAAATTTATCCGGATAAAACCGTTTACACTGTACCACATAGCTATCTGAACTAATTTCATCCACTTTCATGGGTGAACTAATTTTGTTCGGATAGCCGCTCTCAAATTCGTGGGTCTAGTGTAAACGCGACGCCTATCTGAACTAATTTTGATGCTGATAAAATGTATCCGGCATAGTGTAAACGGGGATTAAAATACAAAAAGGGGGAGGGGTACCAGGTATTTTGGCGCGATTGTGTGATCAGGGTATTATCGATGCGAGAATTCGGGAAACAATTTTTTGTCATGCGTGAATTCGCGCGTGACCTGAAACCAGACAAATTTCCCCAGCATATTTAGAGATTCCTTTTCCGACAGCTCTGCCAACAAGAAACTACATGCAGGATATTGTCATGACCGAAGATCTCTATTATGTAGAAAAGATTTTGTTAAAAATTCAAGAAATTTCTCGCATTAGATGGCTATTGAATAACACCTAACGTACCGACAATACACTCTTTTTTTATAAGAACCAGTAAATTTAAGTTCAGGCTGACTGTTCCTAATTTTTTCGAGAATCTGAGGCTGGAATTTCTTAATTTGTTCTTAAATTAAGAGGGTGTAAGCAGTGCTATTGCTAGCTTTTTCGCTCTAGGGAGGTGTTCAGGCCTCATTTGCCAACAATTGAATATTCACCGAAAAAGCACCCACACATCGCTAAAAATTCTCGATTTTAAGAAAAAACGTTGTTCGAAATTGCATTTCACAGAAGCTCAGTTGATGTTTGTTATTAATTTGTTCTTAACTTTTGACCAGTTTTGAGGCTCGTGTTCTGATAAAATTGTTCTTATAAAAAAGGGGGTATAGTACCTATATTGCCCCTAACCTGTAGCATTATTTTGTCTTTCGGGTCTTGTGTTTTTCAATAAACATATTTAATATTCTACATTTGCGCGTGAACAAATCATGTCACAAAGAAGCAGGTTGAAAGCTGCAGGATTTTTAAACAGCATTTGTAAGCCTTGTGGTGAGGCTGTACGCGCCACAAACGGCTAGGAAGTAACAGGTATTCACCACAAACGTCCGTTACGTGTCCACACTGTAGCGGTTCCAAATTGTTCCTTTTAGCCATTCCGTTTACACTGTACCGGTACGACCTAAATTCAGGCCCTATTCACACGACACCGGATTCATTTTATATCGGATTCACTGACCCAGATTCATTTTGTATCGGATCCACTCCTGTTCACACGGTGTAGCCTTCGTGCAGGCTCGGAAATTCCAATCTCATCGAAATTCTAGAAAATGATGGTTGATCTGTTCTCAAACGGATCCAGCAACAATTTTTAGCCTCTCAACCAGGGGCGTCGCGACGGGGTGGGGGGTTTTGAGGTGTCATGCTCTCCCCTAGTAGTATCTCGATTGGAAATTTCAGGTAAAATCCGCTCGGTCGAAGAAACGATTTAGGTATTTGAGAGACCTTCATGTCTTAAAATCAATAAAGGATCAAGCAAAGTTAGTTGCTCCGTTGGTTAAGTATGATATTTCGTTATATGAATGAAGGTAAACAAACTAATGATTTGAAGATTTGAAGATTTCTTGTTGGCAGTAAATCTGAAAATCCAGACCATTTTTAGGTAAAATTGTGTCTTTAACCCATTTCCCCTAAAATTTCTCGGTAGAAGCGTCAACTGCAATTCACTATGAGCTCCAGATTTTTTTAACATTCAAAAGGCATGCTAAGATGGAGAGAGGGATCTAAATTGACAACCAGTGCTGCTTGTTACCCAGCTTTAGAAGTAACTGACAACATGCTATTTTTCAAGACCGCGGCGAAATTGTACTAGGTATTTTTATTTGCTGTTCAACTTGTTTACAAAAAAATAATTTTCGATAGGATTAGGAGGATTGCTTTAGTGATATGTGCTTAAACGAGTAAAATTTCCTGCTTCCTCGGTTAGTGGCTATCTCCTTTACCCGTTCTGAAATAGAGATTTGACAAAACTATTAGGAAAGTCGGCTATTATCGTTTAAAAATGAATAGTTGCTAATTATATACAGAGTTAGATTGACAAAATGTATTGCAGAAGTTTGTGACAGTAAATAAAGAATTTCAGGCAATAATTTTTCATCAGATAAATTTGTAGTTCACATCGCCCTAACGAGGCTTGCCTCGCTACGGCCCTGCTGACTCAATGCATTATTTTTTTAACACGTTTGTACAAAGATGTGATTTAGTTACTTTTTCTTCCTTGATTTACAGAAACTGCTATGAAATATCTAGGCCTAACTCTAGAAAAAGCCGAAAATAGGTCACAATTCAATGCTTGGATATCAATAACATAATTTATATATACAGTAGTAACCAATTTTCAATTTGATATAATTTTTGATATTTTTAGACTACACCCTTTTTTTATAAAAAACGAGTTCTGGGAAATCAGAGAAAATTAAGATATTCCACGACTCAAAGCAGAAAAAACAAGCAAACTGGACTTGTGACAGAAACCCAGAACTCGAAATTTTTGAAAAATTGAGATTGGCTGGTTGGCAATGTATTTTATGCAAAGAGGATTAAAATTTATTTAATTCATCTAAGTACAGCATAGGAACAGAAGCAAATCTCTTATCAGAAAAGCCAAGTGCATTTAATTAAAAACAACAGAAGGACTGACGAGCGTGCGTTCTGCAGCTGCCAAAACCGTCACTAATAGGAATATGCATAAAGTATTATCAAACTGGAATACTCAACGTTGAACTTTATTTCTTATAAAATAATGGTGTATTGTGCTACTCTCTTTTTATAAGAACGATTTTATCAGAGCATGAGCCTCAAAATTGGTCAAATATTAAGAAGAAGTTAAGAACAAGCCGAGGCTGAGCTTCTGCAAAATGCAATTTTGAACAACTTTTTATCACAAAATCGAGAATTTTTAGCGATGTCTGGGTGCTTTTTGGATGAATATTCAAATTTGTCAGCAAATTGAGGCTGTCTCACTCACTTTGTTGGCAAATGAGGCCTGTTCACCTCCCTAGAGTGAAAAAGCTAGCAATAGCACTGCTTACACCCACTTATTTTAAGAACAAATTAAGAACAATCCAACCCCAGATTTTCGAAAAAATTAAGAACAGTCAGCCTGAACTTAAATTTACTGGTTCTTGTAAAAAAAGAGAGTGTATTTCAAGTCCATACTCGTTGCTTGTAATTATTCTTCAGCACAATGTGTCCCTCCCCGTATCTTTAGAGCTATAAAATACCTTTGGGGCAGATTTTCATGACAAAGATTACTAATTCGGCCTCATTAAGAAGAAACAAGTTTAATTCATATCAAATTTCATTTCTACAAATTCAATTTGACAAACTAATTATAAAGATTCGCACTTTTCTATCGGCAGGTGTAAAACGCGGTTCATGCAGGTTAATGAAAGGAAGGTTAAATCGTGCGGGTCAAGACTAGTGGCCATGGGCACAAGCAGGGGCGGATTCAGAGCAAATTTGAAGGAGAAGCAGTTGGTAGTGGGGGCGCTGAAAAATTTTCGAAATTGGTGACGAGAGTCCCCTTTATACAACAATTTCAGATACATTTTCGCAATAAACTACATAACTTTCAGGTAATTCTTGAAGCAAATTAACCTATCGGTCTCAGAAACTTTTTCACAAGATTCTCATTCTTCAAAAGAGGCGCACAATTTCCAGAAAAGGAGCGCCAAGCTTCCTTCAACTCGTTGAGGGAGGGGCAACTGCCCCTAATTGCCCCCCTCACATCCACCACTGGGCACAAACTTTAAAGGTAATGTGTCCATAGAAAAGGACTGCCTACTAGTATTCTTGCGATGCAAAACTGCTCACATGAAAAGCTAACTTCTTAGTAGGATAGATAAACAGAACGACCCGTAATGGCTGGGACGATGAAACGAAAAATCACATGTTTCTAAAAGCCCCCGCAGAGTCGCTTGCTTAAGCTGGACACATTCCCTTTAAGGCTTCTGGCCTATTGACATTGCTGTTATGAATTTGGTGCAACATAATGAGGTGTTCGATGAAAGTTGACACCCACTGATGTGTTGAGCATCGAGAAATCCATTCAAACATCAAGAACTGTTTTATTCACAAATATGTTTGATATCGGCATAAATAACAAATAAATATCGGCAAATCATTGCCATATTAGGTTCTAAACGCACGACAGGAAAATTCAAGAATTATATATTTAAAATGGTCTATATTATTAGATAATAGACTCAAAAAGTTCTTTCTAATTTATATGAAGATAAAAATTGCAAGCACATACTTTTTCAATTCAGGCCACTGCTATATTCTCCCCGTAACTGCGTAAACTAAAAAAGTCTTATTTTTTACAATTCTGTTACAATTCAAAAACTGCAAAATTTTTTTTACAATTCAAAAGCTCCAAAATTGCTATGTGTTGCTGATTTATATCGTCCCTAACTACCTGCATCAGAAAGGGCACTGAAATAGTTGTGAGCCACGAGAAACTCAGTCCTTCAAAAAAGCAATTTTCCATACTGAACCCTACTGTAGCTCGCTTTTGGCCACTTTATTAAATAGCGGAAGTAAACAAATTTGACTCACTCAGCAGTACCACAGAATATTCAAGAAGCTGTTTGAAGAAGAAAGGTTTGTACTTGAAGAAAAAACAGCCAACACAATGGGCCTTGGCCCCCCCACTTTTTTACAAAACA